AGCTGCCTTCTCTTTGAAGGTGCCACTGAGCCTTCTCCTTGCAGGACACTAATGAACAAACCTCCTGCTGTCCCTGTGATCTACCCTTATTGCCCCAGCTAATTCAGTAACGAATGGGCCAGAGTGACATCCCGGAAACCCTGCTCTGCGTGTCGCTGTTTGCAGAGCTCTTCCCCACGACCAGCTTCGCCGTCGCAGTGGGCAGGCAGAGGAAATCAAGCTGAAGCAGCGCAACGTGGCATGCACCATGGCGTGCACCACTCCTGGGAGCAGGTCTGCAGACTGCGCCGCACAGGGAGAGGACAAGGCATCACCAGCGACCATTGAGCTAGCAACGCTGCCTCCTCAAAAGCTGTAGGATCGCTCTCCTCTCCCCACAAGGAAAAGCCTTCCTTTCCCTCCCTCCCTAATGATGTTTCATTCGTGGGAGGGCTGGAGAGGGGCTGCACTGATGGACGTGCTAAAGTAATCGATTTCAGTAATAAATGACTGTTTAAATTACTTCAGCCCCAGCAACGTGCCGATTGCTTTCCAAGCTGCCACAGCACAGGGATTGTGTTCCTCGCCCCGCTGAGCCAGAGCAACGCTCGCCCCGTGTCCCTGCCTCACTCACATTTTTCTGGTCATTTAACCAGTGGCTTCACTGTCACCTGCAGAGAGCTGAGCCACCGTGGAAAGGCGGCAGCCCTCAAGACCGTGCCTGGAGAAGTCCCAGCATGTTGACCCGTGGGGACGGTGTCAGAAGTCCTTGCTCCTTTGGCAGGCACGGGCAAGCCCTGAACAGCCCCATATACGGCAAATGGGGCAATCACCGTTTCCCCCCTACCACCCTGCGAGGGTTAATGGTGGTGCTATGGGACACGGCACAGGCATAGCCAGCTGGCAGCCCGCAAGCAGCCCGGGAGATCATTTGGCCAAGTCCCCAGGAATCAGAGGGTGGAAAGCCAACCACACAGGGTGGGCAAGAGGAGATGCACTCAGCCCCAGCAGCTTTGGGGTGAGCTTGTCCCATGGCGGAGGGACACCAGGTACACGTGCTTGATGGTGTCCATCACCACTGCAGAGCTGGAGCTGAAGGAGCCGACCTGTCAGATACAGCAGGAGCTGCTTCCCACCCTGCAAAGACCAGCCTCAGAGGGCAGCTCCATGCTCAGCTTCCAGGTGAGCGGCGGGACAGGCCAAACATTTTAGCTTGGGCACTCGCAGCAGCAACTGAGCATAGAGGCTTCAGCCCAGCAAGGATCTTCCTAGGTGTCCACCTGCCCCCACGGTTGACAGCCTGGCTTTTTAAGCAATCAGCAGCCAACAAGGAGCTGTGGCTCCTTTCACCTCCTCCTGGGCACAGCAATGCTTCCCCATCCCCACAACCCTCTAACCATCTCCAGGCACATGCCACTGCATCACCCTGGAGAGCATCTCCTGGGTCATCCCTACTACCAGGAAAGAGGAGGGTCACCTTCCTGAGCCTGCAGCCAGCCTGGAAGCAGCACGTCGTCTTAGAGCCCCACAGCAGGAGGAAGCTCAGTTTCTGTTTACAGCCACCAAGGACAGGTAGAGCCATCCTGGGCTTTGAAATAAAGGGTATACACAGGGCTGTGGCGAAGCCTCTAATGCCATTGCCCTGAGCAGGGTGCGTAGAGCCTCAGCTGAGCTTGGGGCAAGCCATTCTCCCATCCCATAGGCTTATAAACACCCCCTCTCCTTATCTTATCACCGGACACTTCATGGCTTTTCCTCCTCTGACCATCACCCCAGCATAAGGGGCTGGTTCACCTCCCAGCACCAACTCCAGGGGCCTAGTTTTATGCTCGCACCAGCTCCAGAGCAGCTGACACCATTCCCACACAAGACCCCTGCTCAGAGGCACAGCACTGCCCCACGTTCCAGGACATGCTCAGGTAGACCCAAGCCATCACCTCCACACTTCGCAGAGACAGGAAGGTGGCAGAGCCCCACCAGTAAGGTGTGCTTCACCCGGGTACCACTCTCCCAGTATCATTGACCAAACTGGGGATCCCCTGCCTGCTCCAGATTGCTCTTGGAGGTGACGATAACAGCATCCAGCTCTAGACAGACAAGTCCCTGCAGGATATAGGGCACCTCCCTCCCAATAATAATTATGGTCTGTGAACCTCACTGTTAGCCTACCCAGAGCATATCTTTATCAGCGCTTGCTGTTTCCCTAAGATGACATTCAGACTATAAGGAACACCCTAGATTAAATCCAGAGAACTCAGAGCAAAAAAAGTCTTTATTCAAATACAAAAGACAGTTGCATAGAAGTGCACTGGTATGTTTCTAATTAAAAGGTGCTTTTGCAGTAAAAGCCAGAGCAAAAGTTTGCCATTTAAACCAAAGCAGGCAGCTTGCAACATTCCCCTGGACTAGGCACCAGGAGCCTCTTCCCAGGCAGGATGTGACCCAACACAAAGCCAGGCACCTATTCAGCTTCACTCCTCGATACACAGCAGTGTGATAAAGCTCAAGACACCCATGCTACAGAAGTGCATTGCGAGCACGTAGACTATGCAAGCAGAAAAGGTATAATACGTCAAACAGTAGCGTTGCGGTTCAGGACAATCCTTTGGCACCTCCAGGCACTTGGGACCAGTTTAGCCTGATGACAGACAGTTTGCATTTTGAAACGAGGTTTGACTTCATTAAGAACAGACAGGAGTTTGTTAATACTCATCCTCATCAGCCTCATCCTCTTCTCCATCTGCTGAGTCCCTTCCAACCTCCTCGTAATCCTTCTCCAGGGCAGCCAGGTCTTCCCTGGCCTCCGAGAACTCCCCCTCCTCCATGCCCTCTCCCACGTACCAGTGCACAAAGGCTCGCTTGGCATACATCAGGTCAAACTTGTGGTCCAGGCGGGCCCACGCCTCCGCGATGGCCGTCGTGTTGCTCAGCATGCAGACGGCCCGCTGCACCTTGGCCAGGTCCCCTCCCGGCACCACGGTGGGCGGCTGGTAGTTGATACCCACCTTGAAGCCCGTGGGGCACCAGTCCACAAACTGGATCGACCGGCGCGTTTTAATGGCCGCAATGGCCGCATTCACATCCTTGGGCACCACGTCGCCCCGGTACAGCAGGCAGCAGGCCATGTACTTGCCCCGGCGCGGGTCGCATTTCACCATCTGGTTGGAGAACTCAAAGCAGGCGTTGGTGATCTCTGGCACCGACAGCTGCTCGTGGTAGGCTTTCTCCGCCGAGATGATGGGAGCATAGGTGGTGAGCGGGAAGTGTATCCGAGGGTAGGGCACCAGGTTGGTCTGGAACTCAATCAGGTCGACATTCAAGGCCCCATTAAATCTCAGGGAGGCAGTGACGGATGAAACGATCTGCCCAATCAGCCTGTTGAGGTTGGTGTAGGTGGGACGCTCAATGTCCAGGTTGCGGTTGCAGATGTCATAGATAGCCTCGTTGTCCACCATGAAGGAGCAGTCCGAGTGCTCCAGGGTGGTGTGGGTGGTGAGGATGGAGTTGTAGGGCTCCACCACTGCAGTGGAGACCTGCGGGGCTGGGTACACGGAGAACTCCAGCTTGGATTTCTTGCTGTACTCCACAGAGAGCCGCTCCATGAGGAGGGAGGTGAAGCCGGAGCCCGTGCCTCCCCCAAAGCTGTGGAAGACCAGGAACCCTTGGAGGCCGCTGCACTGGTCAGCCTGCAGCAGAATAACGTATATTAACTTCTCTCTGTTAAAGACTGGAATAACTCACCAAAGTAATACAGCAATAGATTCTGCTTGGAGCACCTAATGACCAGAACAGCAACATCAAAACAAAGCCACAAACTCCAGTTATTCTTTTCCCAAGAGTGTATTCATTCAGTATATTGCCCTACTAAGCATCTTTAGCTTCGACATGTGTTAATCAAGCAGAGGATTTCCATGTACCTACCATAGGTAGCTGTGCATGGCCAGACAGAAACTCTGGGCAAGTTGCTCTATTATCTGCTCAGTGCATGTCTCAGCAGCTGAGAGGAGATGGGAGGTCACATGTGGTTCCTGGACCCCGAGGAGATGTCAAAAAAGTGTTTCACTGACAGACCCCTAAAGACGGTGTTACAAACTAGCTTCACCCCCGCCAAACATGGAGTTTGGCTTATCAATCATCCATTTAGAACTAATCTCTGCAATTGCGTAACCACAGTGTGGCTTCCCTATGGTCAAAAGTCCCTCTCTTCTGTCTTTTAGGTCTAGTGTTGTCTCACTCCAGCCCATGAGATGTACATACAATGACAGTTGCTTTAAGAACAGATACATAGTTTCAGATGAACCCCTTTCTTTACCAAGCCCCAAATCTCATGACAGCAGCAGTAGTTCTCGAGCTCAGATAGAGGAATTTTGCTTCTAAGATATTTACCTAAAAGTTAACACAAAGTTTAATTGCATTGTCCATGATGTGCTGTTTCAAGGGAAAGATTTTCTTTTCCCTCTTACCATTTTACGAATTCTGCTGAGAACAGTATCTATGATCTCCTTCCCAATGGTGTAATGGCCACGGGCATAGTTGTTGGCAGCATCCTCCTTGCCACTGATGAGCTGCTCTGGATGGAAGAGTGCATGGTAGGTCCCAGTCCGAATCTCATCTACAGGGAGGAGCAGTCATGGAAAGTAGCATGGTTACTCCGTCACACTAATACACAGAACCCATGAAGCGTGTACAAATCCACCAGGAACTCATGCAAAAGTAATGGGCATGGTGTGGTTAATTAGACTGGGAATAATGAAAAGGGTTAGAGAAACACCGTCCAGACTAATCATCAAGTTCATTACCTCCTCCACCTTCTCCCAGCTGCCACCTTGAGATCCTGATCTAATTTGGTTCATAAAGAGTTAGGATGCTGCCTAAGTGTCCACTGCTGGTGTAGGATTATAGCTACCACATGTAACCTGCGCTTCTGCTTGTTGTAGAGCAACCTGAGGTCACTGAGAGCACTACCTCCACCACCTGCTCCACAGCATACTGAAGAGGAGACAGAATACTTCCTGCCTTGACATTTCAGCTAGATCCATCCCGCCAAGCTCCAAGCATCTAATGAATACAGGCATTAGGAGCAGTTTCCCTAGGCTTTGCACAATCAGTGAGGTTGAGAGACATCTCCAGAGGGTAATTAGACCCAATCAGTCTCAATGTTGGATATATTTCTTATTCCACTGGCTCACTCATCAGGTTCTCAATTTAGTGCCTTGATTAGGTGCCTAGAAATTAAGTGGAACCAAAACAGAAGTCTGCATTCCTTTCATTAAATGAAATAATGAGTCACATGTCCTAGACAGTAAGATAGGAACAGACACATTCACCCACAGGAGAAGCCTAAATGGCAGAAGCAGGTTAGATGTACAGCCTTAAATGGATGCAGGTGGCAGGGAGTCATTTCTGCCAGCTTCTTGAGCAAAAGCAAATTTGTTGTCTAGAAAGATATTCCAAATCAAATTAAAATGCCATGAGTAAGTCAAGCTTCCAAAGAAGATCGTTAATGAAACCAGGGGGTGGAAGAGGAAGTATACAGCCTGTCGTAGCAAAACACCCATTTTCCACAGAACCATGGAATTGGTAGCACCCACCTGCCCAGAGGTGCTTCAGAGGTAGCATTAAAACCGGAAGTGCCACATCAGGTCATAGGCTCACGTAATTCAGTCCAGAGCTATCGAGGTTAATAAACCCATACCACCTTACACCTGCTGAGGATCCTGCTCAAGACAGCAGGTCTCTCTTAAATCGAGAGATCAACTGCAGACAAGTCAGTGTGGTCGGAGTAATGGGTTTGTCACTCGCAGGTCCATTTGGAACTGCAAACACCATCCAGCTTCTGATGGCTGGAGACATTACAACAGAGCAAAAGAGTGGGAGCTGCTAGGCAATACAGGCAGCAACACGAGCTGCAGTAAGAAGGCTCAGGAGCCAAAGTTAAAGATGCCACAACACCCATCTGCCCCACTATTACCAATGACAGTGGGCTCCAAGTCTATGAACACTGCCCGGGGCACGTGCTTCCCAGACGCTGTCTCACAGAAGAAGGTCTCGAAAGAAGAATCCACTTGTTCGGACTCCGGCTCCACAGGTTTTGCCAGCTTGGGGCCAGGAATGGTCCCGTCCGCCTGGATCCCGTGTTCAAGGCAGTACAGCTCCCAGCAGGCATTGCCCATCTGCACGCCAGCCTGCCCGATGTGGATGGAAATGCACTCCCTCTGCAAGGGGAAATGGCTTGTTAAGGGGATTTTGAGACATCCTGCGACTTAGCACTAGCCCCCACAGTTCTTGTTTGAGCCGTTTGCTACTGGCAGACAATTAGGGAAACAGAAGGCTTCCGCCCACCGCCAGGAGCTGGAGCAAGGATCAAACCCTGATCTGCAGAGCCACTGGCCACAGCCTAGCCATGCACGTAGCCTCCTTAGGAAGGGCTCAGGGAGGAAGGAAGGAGGTGATGGGCTTGGTGCCAAGACAGGAAGCAGCTGAGCAGTGCTGGCTCCTTCTTAATCAGTGCTCAACTGGCCCCGCCACAGAGCAGGGCAGCTGTTGATCCCTTGGGGCTCAGCCACCACCATGACTCAGGGTCTGCTATGCCGGCATCTTTGTCCCAGAGGGATGGTTCCTCAGGGATGACTGGAGATGGGGGCTCAGGTCTCCCTTAGCAAAGCTCTGCACCAAACGGGGAGAAGCTGAACCTGGAAAATCCACAGCTGAGCTGGGAGTCATACCAGGAAACAATGCTAGAGGAAACTAGCATTCGCCCGAGGCCAGAACAAGGGCAGGCCAACACCCAGAGAGAGTCCCAGAGAGAGCTTAGAGTCCCAGTTTAACCAGGTCACCCTCCAGGAGCCCTCCAGGGTGCTGCTGGAGACATCCACGTCTTCTGGAGCCTCTCTGGGGACTTTTGATGGTTCCATGCTTCCCTCCGTAATTGGCATCTCTGCCATTTCCACCACCCCAAGATCAAAGCACCTCTGCAGTGACAACAGAGCTCGCACTGCAGCACCCAAGCAGAGACTCCCAACTACAACCATGCACAGCGCAGGGAAGTGCAGCTTCCCAGGGTGTCCACGTTAAGGGAAGCTGGTGATCCCACCTGGGGTGGCAAGCAATGCAGCTGATGTTACTACTTGGGGCATTGAGGGGCAGCTCCGTTCAGGTCTCCTCTCTGCTACTACCCAGTCTTCCTGCTCCTTTGTGCTCCATGCCTCAGTTTCCCCCCAGGCCTACCCAGGGCCAGGAGTCTCCATGAACGAGCCCAGCTCCCTTGCTTCAAGGAGTCTACCTTGGGCAAAGTATGACAAACACCACTGACAGCTCAGCTGTCTCAGGCCTGAGAAAACGCCCTGAGTGCACGCAGCCCTAGGCATGGCTGCCCTGCCAAAGTGACCCTGTCTCTTTTAAGTGGAGTCTTTACCTTCAAAGCAATGCTAGACATGGTCTTGGGCATCAACTGCTCTTGGCAGTAGCAGGAGTCATTAGGAGAGAGAAGTAACACAACTTCTTCCCTCTTTCTGTCTCCAAGCATTGATGCGTCAAGAGGTTTCTCAGCATCAAATTGCCGCTGCGCGTCCAGGTCATCTGCAGTAAAGCTAGATACCATCCGAGTGCTCTCCGATACAGCAGAGGGACACCAACCCCTGCACCCACAGCTGGCAAAACACCACTTAATCCAGGTCTGGGCAAAGATCGCCTGTTCTGCTGGGTGTGGAGGCTGCATTTAAGTCTCCCCTCTCCAAGTTGATATTTGCACTATTTGGGAAATGCTGGCTGCCATTTGCCCATCCCTCCCAGCAAAATGGTTGCAATAGCTCCTCACCACAGTTTGCAAGGGTCACCGCCACAGCCGCTTCGCCAGCACTAGCCGGGACAGCTGCTCAGCTCTCTATCCTCTCCCAGCTCCCTAGTCCCAGCACCTGCTTCAAGGGGGCACTAGCATTTTCAGCCCAGCACACAGGGAATGGAAAGGAAAAAAAAAAAAAAAAAAGGCAGGGGGCCAGCAGGAAGAGCAGGACGAAAGCACAGCTCATACTATGCAGTTTTCTCCCACCTTCAAATATGCTGGGAAGTTTTCTGAGATCCCAGATCTCCAACATTTATATTTTGCATCAAGATAAACTGCATTTTACAGACTGGCTATAGGCAGCCTATTGTTGTCCAGCTGATTTTCCCATTGGAAACACCATGTAAATATTTAACTGTTTTATAGCCAAGATAGACTCCAGAAGTCCCAGATAAAAGGAAAAGTTCAAAAGCTGGCTTGCCAAAGGTTACTTTGAAGTTTTCTTCCATTTACAACATGCAAAGGGTCACCATCAGATTTTCCAAAGAGTTATTCTTTTGCATTCAAAATAAGGTGACAGTTGCGTTATTCTTTGAAACAGTTTCAGCAAGATCAGCCAGCGATGTTCAGGGTTGCGGTTTTTTTAGTCACTGGTTCAATTCCCTTAAGTTTCACAGCTGCAAACTCTTTAGAGTAAAGATTCAATGAAAAAACTGGGGGGGGGGGAGAAATATTTATTCCTTTAATATCTATTCCCAAGGGTTTTTAGCAGACAAAGGCAACATGGCAGCTCACTCCTTAGGAAGAAACCCTAAGGTCTCTGCAAGTTGCACTAGTTCCCTGTGGTAGTGAGAGAGCTGAAGTGCTAAACCTATAGAAAAGTGCCAGAAGTATCAAAGTTTAAAATTTAGTATATCAGATAGTTGTGTATCTAGATATACTGGTTTCCAAAAAAAGTAAAACTCAACTTTGCATTAAAGAATCCAGCACTTTGCAACTCTACAGACACCATCTCAGGAGCTGCAAACCTCAGGGCGAAAAAGCAGCAAGAGGCCACTCAAATAACCGTTCTCCAACCAAGTCCCTCACTTTTCCCTTATAAGGAGCAAACATTGATTCAATAAGCTATAAGGTAACCAGCAATTAAACCAAACTGTTTGGAGTTAACAGCCCCAAGAGAAAAGAGAGAAAAAGAGCAAGCAAACTGTTCAGCTCAGTGCACTGGGAAAACATTCAGTCTATATATTAAGTTTAGACTAATATAAATATAAGGCATGCACTTACCATGATGAGACTGGAGGCTTGCTAAGATCTAAGCAAAACAGCTGCTGCCCCTGCCTCTGCCTGCAACTTTATAGCCTAGGAAGGCTTGACTCCACCTGAATATAAAGAAGCTTTCTCCTAACTTAAAGGAGCAGAGCTCCTTTTCCTTTACATCCCTAGATACAGTAAGGGATAAAATGATTTGCTAGTGTCTAGCTGGTGCAGTTCCTGTGATTTAAAAGCCTTGGGTACGGTAAACTGTGATCTTTTTGCTTACATTTTTTCAGAGAGCCTCAACTGAAAAAAAAAGAGAGAGAGAGAGAGAGAGGGAGAGAGATACTGAACTTGGGGGAAGGGGGAGTGTAAAGAGGATGAGGCCAGCCTCTTCTCCGTGGTGCCCAGCAACAGGACAAGAGGCAACGGGCAGAAACTGAACCACAGGCAGTTCCAGCTGAAGCTGAGGAAAAACTTCTTCACTGTGAGGGTGACTGAGCATTGGAACAGGTTGCCCAGAGAGGTGGTGGAGTCTCCTTCGCTGGAGACATTCAAAACCCGTCTGGATGTGATCCTGGGCAATATGCTCTAGGTGACCCTGCTTGAGCAGGGAGGTTGGACTAGATGATCTCCAGAGGTCCCTTCCAACCTAAACGATTCTGTGATTCTGTGAAGTTTGAGTGCCCCCATACGACACACTTTATTGAGAAATCACAGTCCTTCCCTCATCGTTATTCAAAGCACTGCCATTGATTGATCTATTTTTAGACCTAATCTTGCAATTTTTGGCCTTTGTCTCATGCCCTCCTGGACCTTTATAGGAATGCACTGATTTTTGCACCTCTGTAGCGGTAAGGTGCAGGCTCAGACCCTCCGTTTGCCTTACCTGCTAGCCATTAAGGGTTCATTGCCAAGAGCTGACATAAAACTCTGTGCCGGTTCTGGCCCCATCCTGCAAATAAGTAGGTTTAGCGTTAACTAAGACTGCTCTGGGTCTGCTCTTATGTCTAGATAACTGTGCCCCAGACTGTGTCAGCATGAGCCCAGCCAGGGGATTGAGGGCAGTGAGTCTTCCCTCTGTTCAGCATTTATGAGACCCCATCAGGATCCTGGGTTCAGTTTGGGCTCCCCAGTACAAGACAGGCATTGGCATCTGGAGGGGGTCCAGCATAGGCCACCGAGCTGGTCAGAGGCTAGAGCACAGGACATAAAAGCAGAGGCTGAGAGGGGGGCTTGTTCAGCCTGCAGAAGGGCAGACCTTATTGCAGATTGCAGCTCTCTAGCTGGAGGGTGCAGAGAGGATGGAGCCAGACTCTTCCTGGAGATGCACGGCAAACGGGCGAGAGGCAGCACAGGAAATTCTGGCTGGGTGGAAGGGAAAAAAATTCATCATGAATGTGGTCAAGACACTGGAGCATGAGGTGGAAGATGGGGGAAACTTCATCCTTGAATACATTCAAAACTCACCTGCACAAAACTTTAGGCCACATCATCTAAGTTGGCCCTGCTTTGAGCAAAAGCTGGGCCAGTGTCCTCCAGACATCCCTCCCAACCTTGATCATTCTGCAACAGCCACCTTCAGCATCAATGCTGTCATATAAGAATTTCTTTCTCATCCTCTCCCTTGCCACCCAGTCCTTCCTCTTCCCCACTTTGGCCACTCACTCCCACACTTGGCCTCCCTTGGGACTTCCTCCCCTCTTGGCTGTCCTGAAGCCGGAATACCTGCTTGTACATCCATTCTCTGCAGTGATGGGCAAACAAGGCTGAAGTTCATCACTGGTAAATCAACTGGGTATTTTAGGAGGCAAAATTAACCTTCCTACCATGGATCTGCACGCACCAAACTGGTTGTAAGAACATCACCTGCCCTAGGGAG